GAAACCAAGGCAACGAATGCTTGTGTGACCCTCCCTAAAAACACAATGCATAGACTTGAGGTTACGTTGGCACATAAGTAGATGTGCGTAGGTAGACGCGAAATACGGTTCAATTCAGTGCTAAAAAAACAGTTCACTTGAACGAGGACGGGGGACGTATAACTGCATTTACATTGCCAATGCGTTTCAACCCTTTTCCGTTCTTTAAACTGCATCACCCATTTAACCCCTATTGATACTGTTCCCCATTACACGCCTGCCTTTCCATCGTGTTCGTTCGGGGGGTCGCACAGGCATTCATTGCCGAAACATATACCGACATCTTAGATGAAAAATTGTCAGAGATAAACAGAGCTCTCAGGGAACACTGTTTGTTCAATCACGGAGCTCAGGACCGTTGAAGTAAATCACTTTTAAAGCAGACAAAATGCTGATATCGTCAAACGTTGAGACCCAGGTCAAAAGTGAATGGTTTCAAGTCCACTGATGCCTCCAGCACCTTGACCGGAGTTATGTTGACATGAAACTCTCGTCCAAGAGGAGTCGGCAATACGCTGTACAATCCAATTTACCTAGTACTGTATACGGGTAGGCTGTGTAAAGAGGTTTCGTTTGTCGAAAAGTTTGGGCACTTACCCCAGAGCAAGTGGCACTCGATAACCGCCCTCTGTGTACTGAACGCTGCCCCGAGATCGCCTGTGACCTGTTTGCAGAAAAGAGAAAAGATTAAAAAGACCGACCGAAGGAAAAAGGAACTAAAACGGCAGGCCAACTGATAGAGTTCGCCTTTCTTCATATTAATAGCAAAGAGGTTTTCAACAAATTCGCGTTAGGCCTGTACAATAACACAGAAGACTAACATCTAGGTGCAAGTTGCACAAGAGGACGACTAGTTTCTTCGAATGGAAAGAGTTGGGGGGAGGCGGAGGGGGAATCTGGGTTAGCAAATCACCTCTCCAAACTGGATGCGGTTCTTAGTCTGGCGATCTGGAAGCCATAGGAACACAAAACAATCCCACTGTGCAGGCGGATTGCCGCCGCCCTCCGCTGTCGCAACGCCTTCAGGTAGTGTGGTAGCGCCTTCAAGGTGGCCTCAAAGGAACTACTCACATATTTGGGTCCTTTGCCCTCCCCCATTACCGTGCTAAATACTTGTAAAGACTTGCTACTGTTTTCTGCTGATGAAGGATCCGCGACGGATGTCGAAACTTCAGACGAATAAAAGTGTTGTCCCAGCAATTAAATCTTTTTCTTACTTGACGAGAAGTCATCAAAAACTACCATTCTGAAGTAGGTGAGAGAAATATTTGCCGAACAGGACTGAATGGAATGATTGACAGGTTCTTTGGGTGCACATAAGTTTGCGGAAATGGGCTTGCGAGTCAAAAAAACGCTTCATACCGTTTGCTTTCGTGGTTAGGAAATGAGTGTAGGGAAAGCAGGCGAACGATTCATGGTCAGCATAATACGTTGCGCAAGACCTACACATCTAATAAATATGCCTGCTAAAAAATGAATCCATTTAGATAAGTGTGGTACGAAGTATAGCTATAAAGCCTATTCTCAGTCCATGAATTGTTACCATGTCAACTTCAAGAGCTTACTCGCCTGTAATGGTGGTCTTTATTTCACGAGGGAGAAGGACAACCAAATTTAATCAGTCGGTAGATGTCGATTTGGCAGTTAAAACATTCAAGTAACAGCAAAAGAATACCAACTGAAAGGGAGACTATCCTGCTAATTATAAAATTGTTTTGGTAGGAATTGCCTATAATCGCTCCCCCATCAAAAACTGAATTTCAGTCCCCACCCGAAAGCTGTTTTGCATAACTGAGATGGGCTTTATTTAACCAAAGGGAGCAAAGATTCGCGAATGCAGACGATTTTTAGAGTTTCAGGTATATATACGAATCAGGAACTGATCGAGCATCCGAATCACCTTTAAAGTTTTCTGAGCTTACGAAATCCTGAAACAATCAACATCTAAATTCGAGTAAATGTTCACGGTCATCGTCCCAAAAGATGACGACTTTGTCAAGTCTCGCCTGAATTGTAGAGTTCGTTCAAAGGTACGCCAAAGTAACGAATTAACGTCCTTATACAGCCATGAAAATATAGAGTGATGAGGCGAACAAGCGGGAGGATTTGAAGACAGTCGAGAGACAGGATATTGGGTTCAAGGAAGAAACCGATGGAGTGCACATGAATTACACTTCACGCAAATGAGTCTAACAAACAAAAATTAACTCCAGGAAAACTGTCATTGAAACTTGGCTCGGGAACGGGTGGCACACACATAATTGCCCTTGTGATTAGAAAGTTCTTATGAGAAATGTGCATTATAAGATAAATCCAGCCCTGTCTTCAGGAAATTATTGACCTAAATGTTTGAAAGAAAAAAAAGAAGGGAAGAATAGGTACCCGGAATTTCATGTTTGGGGTGGAAGATGGACGTAGGTGTGAGGCCACCACCAGCCAAAGGTCCAGGCGTCGGTTTTGTTCCTGCCTCCTCAGAAACGGGCCAGGAGGGCGAGAGTCCGGCGCTGGTGATCGAAGTCTCGGTCTCCCGACGTCGCTTGCGGAGAGTGGGACTGAGCGTAGCCGAGGATCGTGTCGTTATGTCGT